ACAGCACATATTAAAAAACAGCTATATCAAGTGAAGTTTAAAATGTTTAGTTCATATTTAAAATATATCACAAGCTGTGCAGAAAGGTATTTAGAGCTGTGTACTACGATAGCTAACTAGTTAAATAATTTTGCTAACATATTAAAGAATCACTACAGATTACTTTCTTAGTGTTAAATTTTTCCATGCCACATCATAAAAATGTTCATTCTTAACTAAGACACTGAAATGGATTTTATTGCATTGGTATTTATATAAGCACAAAATCATAGACATACTGTCCTTATCACTAATTTTTGTGTTTGTACATGATGCCAATAGTAATAATTGTGCATGTGCCAGACAAATTATTGCTGATTCTTATTAATTGCACATTACATTTGGTATAAATTTCCCAATCATGAGAGAGAAGAAATGGAATGCATGGAATACAATGGTAGTTTTCCTGAAAACATAGCTGTAGATCAAATAGGAGAGATGGGGTGGTGCGTTTGAAAAGAACACAACAAGGAGGTGGCCTAATTTTTACTCCTAAATATGCCCACAGCATAAAAGTAGCATGAAAGTTAAAAGACAAAGTAACAAAAATAACTATGGTTACAATAACAGATTTACACAAGATAAAAAGATGTAAAATGTGGCATCAGAAACCTAAAATAGCAGGGATGGGAGTAAAAATGTTGAGTTTCAGCATAGGGTCAAACATAAGTTGTTATCAACTTAAAATAGAGTGTTAGATATAAGTTGTTACATGTAAGCATCATGATAACCACAAAGCAAAAACCTGTAGTAAATACACAAAAGATAAAGAGAAAGGAATATAAACTTACCACTAAGGAAAGTTATTAAACCACAAAGAGAGCAAGAGAAGATGAAAGGAATAGAGAGGAACTATAAAACTATTCAGTAAGCATTAACAAAATGGCAATAAGTACATACCTATCAATAATTACTTTAAATATAAATGAACTAAATTCTCTAATCAAAAGACCTAGAGTGGCTGAAGAGATATTTTAAAAAGACCCATCTATATGTTGCCTGTAAGAGATTCACATTGATGTAAGGACACACACAGACTGAAAGTGAAGGGATGGAAAAAGATATTCCATGCAAATGGAAACCAAAAGAAGGCTGGGGTAGCTATTCTTTAATCAGACAAAATAGGTTTTCAAACAAAGGCTATAATAAGAGACTAAGAAGGATATTACATAATGAAAAAGGGGTCAATCTAATAAGAAAGTATAACATTTGCAAATATTTATGCACCCAAAATGGGAACATCCAAATATATAAGCCAAATATTAGTAGGCCTAAAGGGGTAAATAGACAGCAATATAATAATAATAGGGAATTTTAATACCCCACTTAAATCTATGTCTTAGATCATCCAAACAGCAAATCAGTAAGGAAATACTAGCCTTAAGTGATACATTAGACCAAATAGAATTTACATATATATACAGAACATTGTATCCAAATACAATAGAACAATCATTCTTCCATAGTATACATGGAACATTTTCCAGAATAGATCATATACTTGGCCACAATATTAATTAATATTAATAGTCTTAATAAATTTAAGATGACTGAAATCACATCAAGCATCTTTTCTGATCACAATAGAATGAAACTAGGAATTAATTACATGAAGAAAACTAGAAAATTCACATATATGTGGAGATTAAGCAACATGCTACTAAGCAAAATGGGCCAAAGAAGAAATAAAAAGAGATATATAAAAATACCTTGAGACAAAGGAAAATAGATATAAGACATACTAAAATTTCTGGAGTGTATAATTTTAGCATCCCAAAAAGCAAAAGTTCATAGTGATAAATGCCTACCTCAAGAAACAAGAAAAGTCTCAAGTAAGTAATGTACGTCAAGGAAAAGAACAAATGAAGCCCAAGGTTAGTAGAAGCAAGGAAATGACAAATATTACAGCAAACATAAATGAAATAGAGACCAAATGGCAATATAAAAAAAAACCAATGACACTAAGGGATGATTCTTTAAAAAGATAAACAAAATTGACAATCCTTTAGCTGAACTCACCAAGAAACAAAGACAGAGGACTCAAATAAGTTAAATTAGAAATGAAAGTTATGTTACAACTGGTACCACAAAATTACAAAGAACCATAAGAAACTAGTAGGAACAGTTATAAATCAACAAATTAAACAACCTAGAAAAATGGATGAATACCTAAAAACATACAACCTACAAGACTGAATCATGATGAAATAAAAAATCTGAATAGACTGATGAGGAGATTGAATAAGTAATCCAAAGCTGTCCCTAAAACAAAAGTCCAGAACCAAACAACTTCACTGGTGAATTCTATAAGACATTTAAGGAAGAATTAATACCAACCCTCCTCAAACTCTTCCCAAAAATAGAAGAGGAGAGAACTCATTTATGAGGCTAACATTACCCTGATACTAAAAGCAGATGAGAATGCCACAGGAAAGGAAATTATAGGCCAATATCCTTTTGAACATAGATGCAAAAACTGTCAACAAAATATTAGCAAACCTAACTCAGCAGTACATTAAAAAGATAATACACCATGATCAAGTGGGATTTATTCCAGGGATAGTTCAACATCTGTAAGTCAGTGTGATATACCACATTAACAAAGTAAAGGATAAGAAACATATATAATCATCTCAATAGATGTAGAAAAAGAATTTAACAAAATTCAACATCAATTTATGATAAAAACTCTCAACAAAGTTGGTACAGAGAGAACATACCTCCACATAATAAAGGCCATATATAACAAGCCCACAATTAACATCATACTCAACAGTGAAAAGCTGAAAGCCTTTCCTCTAAGATCAGGAACAAAAGAAGGATGCTCAGTCTCATCACTTTCATTCAAGCTGGTATTAGTAGTCTTAGGTAGAGTAACTACGCAAGAAAATAAAAGTCATTCATATTTTAAAGGAAGAAGTAAAACTGTTACTATTCACAGATGACATAATATATATAGTAAACCCTAAAGACTCCATCAAAAATCCATTAGAACTGACAAATATTCAGTAAAGTTGCAGGATGCAAAATCAATATGAAAAAAATCTGTCACATTTCTCTATATTAATAATGAAGTAACCCTTATGAAATTAAGAATTCTATCTATAATTGCATTAAAAAACTCTAGGACTAAATTTAAATAGAAGATGAAAAATCTGTATATTGAAAATTATATGACATTAATGAAACAAATTAAAGAAGACACAAATTGGAAGAATAAGTATTGTTAAAATGTTCATACTACCCAAAGCAACCTGCAGATTTAATCCAATCCCTATCAAAATTCCAATGGCACTTTTCACAGAAGTAGAACAAGTAATCCTGAAATTTATATGGAACCACACACACACAAATACTGAAATAGCCAAAGCAATCTTGAGAGAGAGAAAAACTGGAGGCATCACATGCCTTGATTGCAAACTATATTACAAAACTGTAATACTTAAAACAGTATGGTATTAGGGGGAAAAACAGACACATAGATCAATGGAACAGAATAGAGAGCCCAGAAATAAACTCAAGCATATATTGTCAACTACTTTACTACAAAGAAGCCAAGAATACACAAAGGGGAAAAGACAGTTTCTTCAGTAAATGATGTTGGGAAAAGTGAACAGCCACACCCAAAATAATGAAACTTCACCACTATCTTATACCATACACAAAAATTAATTCAAAATGGATTAATGACTTGAATGTAAGACCTGAAACCATAAGCCCTGTAGAAGAAACAAAGGTGGTAAGTTCCTTGACATAGGTCTTGGTGATGATATTTTAAATCTGACAGCAAAAGCAAAAGCAACAAAAGCAAAAATATTTAAATAAATGGGACTACATCATACTAAAAAGCTTCTGCATAGCAAAGGAAACCATCAACAGAATGAAAAGGCATCTAATGAATGGGAGAAAATATTTGCAAACACATATCTGATAACAGGCCAAAATGCAAAATATATAATGAATACATACAACTCAGGATAAAAAAAATCTGAGTAAAAAATGGGCTGAGATCTGAATAGACATTTTTTTCAAAGAAGACATACAGAGGGCCAATAGGTACATGAACTGATGCTCGACATCATTAATCATCAAGAAATGCAAATCAAAACCACAAAGAAATATCACTTCATACCTGTTAGAATGGCTATTACCAAAATGACAAGAAATAACAAGTGTTGGCAAAGATGTGAAGAAAAGGGAACCCTTCTGCACTTTTGGTGGGAATGTAACTGAGTGCAACCACTATAAAAATCATCATGGTGGTGGTGCCTCAAAAAATTAAGTTTAAAACCACTGTATGAACCAGCAATTTCACTTATGGTTATTCATCTGAATAAAATGACAACACTAACTCAAAAAGATACATGCACCCCTATGTTCATTGCAACATTATTTACAAAATATATTCTGATAAATATAAAAGTATATGAAGCTAGAACCATAGAATGGTAGACAAATAAGAGATCTTAGATTTGTNATGGATGCAAGGACATTATGCTAAGTGAAATAAGACAGAGAAAGACAAGTACCATGTAATCTTTCCTATATAATCAAAAAACAAAAAAGATAAACCAAGCTCATGGGTGATACAGAGACTGGTGGATGGCAGAGGTGAGTGCTTTTGGGGGAGCAGGAGAAATGGGTGAAGAGAGTCAAAGGTAAAAAATGTAGAGAAGAAAAGAAAAAAACAGGAAAGGGAAAAAGAAAACACAGTGGAGAAGGGGCTAAATTTTGTCTCCTAAATATGTCTGTCAGTCTATGACCTGAAAGTAAGTCACTTAGCTTGCTTTGGATTCATGATCCTCCTCATCAATGAGAGTTGTATTAGGAAAATCTAAGGTTTCTTACTGTCTACCATTCTGTAGTTCTGGCTTGATATGCTTTTCTTTTTATCAGAATCAGTATATTACCTTGCCTACTTCTAAATCATCTTCTCCTCAATACCATTTCATCTTTTGCAGGACACCACTGTCATCTCCAGAGGAAAACAATGGAGTCATTGACTCAGCTTTACCCCCTACAGCAATTGGCTGCTCCCTGCAGTTCATCTCTATTGCCTTTGAGATGCTTTTTTCACCTTTCTAAAGTTGCTTCTGTATCCCTAGGCACACAGTGTCCATGGCCTTTTCTCTAAAGTTCCTACCCTTCCATTCATCTTTCTGACTCATGCCAGACCAACATTCTTAAATTTACTTGTGTACTTTAATACCTTTACTTTAAGGTTTTTTTTCTCTATTATTACAGTCATACATAATCACTGTAGAATGTATTTGGAAAAATTAAAGTACAAAGTTTGGAAAAATTAAACAATGGCCATATGTAAATTTCATTTTATTGAGTACTGATTAAAAACAGATTTTGCTATTTGTATTTCATCTTTTATTAATTACCTGCTCATGGTCTTTTCCTTTTTTTCTACTGAAGTATTCAGTTTGTTCTTAATGATTTAAAATCAGAGCACTTGGATTATTAAGGTTATTAGTACTTAGTCATGTATTTTGCTAATATGTTTTCCTAGCTGGCATTTGCCATTCATGCTTGCTCAGATGGGAAGTTCAGAGATATATTTAGGAGAGTTGGGGAAGGGGCTTCAGCAGTGTGATCAGGACTCTTGGCACCTTCTAAGCTTTTCTTCTAAGCATGGCCTCATTCTTTCCAGTTACAACTGCTTCTGTGTGATCCCTCATCCCTCCCAGCCATTCCTGGCTTATGTCATTCCAGAATAGCATCCCACAAAAAAAGAGAACTTGTTTCTTCCAAGGGTTGTATATCAACCCTGAGAAACAAAGGTGACTTTTAGTCAACTGTTGCCAGGGGAATGGGGTTCCCTTTGGCTGAGCTGAATCATGTGGCCATAACTGTGTTGGAGGGCCTGAGAAAGGGAGGTAGTGGCAAGGATTTGGAGAAATGGACAGTGGGCTGTGATTGATAGTCTATCATTGCCACTTAAAATAGAGGTTGGAGTGATTCCACAAAGGAAGGGACATTGACACACAAAACCTAGATATGTGCATCTTGAGCACATTCACTAATGAACAAGTTTTTTATCTTTTCATTTAAGAAAATACAACTACTTGGTCTTCCCTCTTTTGAGTTTGATATTTTACCTGTAAATGGATGTAGATGTCATTGACACCTGAATAACTGCCTCAGGAGTAGGCATTTATGTAGCTAAAAATAATTATCTGGAATTTTCACTAACTTCTTAGAAAATAACATCAGAACAACCATTGACTGATGCCAGTCTTAGAAATAAAGCTGCTTTCACTAACTGATTGCCCCTCAACATTCCAGCGGCGGTAATTGTGCCTGTCATGCATAGCTGTGTAATTATATATAATTCTTTGAATATAAGCTTCAGAAGGGCAGGGATTATCATTTGGATGATTTGTAAAGAAAGCTCCATTCATGTTATATGTCCCTTAAAATAATTTATACTTATAATTTTTTTACTGGTTACAGAAATCATACTTGTTCATCGTAGCACTTGAAAGATCTTTAACAAACACAAAATAAAATTTTAAATTTCCTATAAATGCATTACCCAGAGAAAATTTCTGCTAGTATTTTGATGTGTATTTGGTGATCTATTGGTCAATAGAAGTTCAGATCCCATATGTGCTTCTCCAGTGAAGGTATCAAGTGGGATTTTGTTGGAAATGTGTTTTGCAGTGTATCTCTGAAGGTCATAGTGCCTGTAATAAAGAAGCCACAGATACACTGTCAACATAAGGTTTCTAAAATGAACATCAGAAGGGAAGTTCTTGAGTGTATTAGTGCTGAATCTGCATCCTAAGTTCTAGGAGACATTATCCTTCAAAAGTAAAATTACCTTTAATAGAATTTAAAGGAGTCCTCCAAGCCCAAAAGGAGTATATTTAGGACCTTGGGTAGGAGAAAAAAACATTTAGGTCTAAGCAGGTCAGCCTAAAATTGCAGCAGAAGAAATTAAAAAGAGGCACATAACAGGCTCTAGGCGATACTGATTTTTATCCTGAAATTTGGTTTTAAATGCAACCAAGAATGTAATTCCCATAGAAGCCTGACATTTTCTGCCTTCATGTGTTGCCTGTTTATTCTGTCTTTAGCACCTGGACTGAATTGGTCCCAAACGGAGTGGTAATTTTCACTGAAGTGTTTATAAAACGAAGCCCCTTTCTCCTTTTTTTTTCCTTTCATTTTAAACACAAGACATATGCCTGCACCTCTTCGTCAGGCTCTTGAGTTGTTGCCAACCTGACAGAGAACCATCTGGAACAGGAAACTGATATGGTGCAGTGTTCATTAACAATTTACATTTACCAACATGAAAATGGCTTAGGGTTTTAATTTTAGAAGCTGTGGTTTTGTCCAAACTATACTCTAAAATAATTGGACTCTTATTTCTTTATTTTTGTTGTGGTGGTAAAGAAAAACAGCTAAATCTGATCTGTTCTTTTCATACAATGACGTAGGATTTGGGGTTTCTTTTCTGTACAAATCACAAGCTTGCAGAGAATTTGATCTTTGGCCAAGAAAGGTTTCTTCATAGTTAATATGTGGTTGGATATATCCTAACTGGAAATACACACACTTTCTGTCAAAGCATAGAAACGATGTACCAAGTAAACAATAACACTTTAGTTATAATTCACAGTATTTTGGACATTTCTTTGATGTTCAAGAAGCAAAGCATATGTTTTCATCTTCTTAAAAAAACTTAGAATGCTTTAAATTTTGTTCCCAGGAACAGATTTCAAGGTACCAGTTTGTTCTGTAATTGTATCCTTATTATTAAACTTTAATCTCTTTCTTACCATCCCCCTTCTTCCTTCCTCCCTCCTAATCTCACACTTCTATGAGAGAAATCAGAAAACTGGTCACCTTGGGAGTTTGCACATTATATCCTTGATTATTTCAAGTTGTTCTCCTTGAGAATGTAGAAACCCAGACAAAAATGACATCATCTGAGATGAGTACAGCCTTTTGTTTTAGAAATGGATATTTAATGGCTTTTAACTTAGAGTGATTATAGCGTTTCAGAGCAGCAGCCCTCCAGATATTAGAATGGAACTATAGCTGTTATAGATCAAGACAGCTATACACAGAGTTTAAAATAGAGAAAGACACCAGGGTATACTTGTTGGAACTTTTTGGTAGGGTATTTTATTTGACATGCCAATAAACATCAAAATATCAAATCCCTTATTAATTTCTTTTTGTTATTATTAATTTCTCCCCCTCCCTCCCTCCCTCCCTCCCTCTCTCTCTCTCCCTCCTTCCCTCTCTCTCTCTCTCTCTCTCTCTCTCTCTCTTTTATTTAAGACTCCCGAGCCCAGCTCAGTTAACTCCGACTCTCTAGCTCAGTGCTCTCCAGCTCCATCATCAGTCTAAACTGAACAGTTTCTTATATATTTGTGCGATCATTTGCTTAGTATCTGCCTTCCCTCCCATACGGTAACCTCCATCTGTTTTGCTCACCGCTGTAACTCGCGCTGATCACGTGGGGGACACATGTAAGGCCACTGATAAGCGTTTCTTTAATGACAGAGGGAATGAGAAAGCAGCCCTGACTCAGCGTCAGTGTTCCATCCGACACTCTGCACCATGGCAAATATGTTGCAGCTTTACCAGAGGAACTCAGTCTTGGAGAATAGAAAAGTTGGCTGAAGAAGAGCGTGGAACATCAAAGGAACCCACAACATATAAATGAGAGCTTTGAAATACTATTGCTTGGAATATAGTGAAAAAAATATTTCATGGGGTGGAAACAAATGATATCAGCCATTCATGGAACTGTGGTTTCATGTTTTAATATTTTTAATCCTTCAGATTTTAAAATCTGGAGTGTTCGGGTTAAATTAATTGTTTCTTTCCCCATTTCTCCTTATTTTTTTCATCTTTATTTCTTTGCCTTCCTTCTCTTTCATCCCCCCATCTTGTTTTCCTGGTCAGTTACTGAGCATGCCATTCAGCCACACCTGGAATATAGAACATTTTTTAACTTAGCTTTTAAAACTCTGGTCCTCTGACAATTCTTCTCCAACCCAGATAACAACAAAGACAGAAACAGATGAAGGAGGGCCTGTGGAAGGAACCACAGAGAGCAGGAGAGCGTCCTCTGCAGGTGATAATTTCTCAGGAATCCCACTCTCTCATCCACACAGCAACTCCTCTGCAGTTAGGTGAGCAAACCATGTGTTCCCAGGAGGCTCCAAAGGACTACCTATTTGAGGGAAAGTAAATTTCATGTATACCCAGTAATTTGAAACCCAGCATAATAGAACCTGATACCCTCTGACTTTTCAAATTGGTTCTGCTTTCACCTTCTTTCCCTCATTCTTTCCTTTCTTCCGTCAACCAGTTATTATGTGGGAACGACTGCATCCAGGGTGGTGCTGAGTCTAAGAAGTGAGAGAGTAGATAGGGTAGGCAACGTGGGTGTTGTCAAGGGCTTTACTCTTATGGGGGGACTGTCTGCCCACCATGCCACAGGTATCCCTTCATTTTGCTTAACCCTCCCCCCCCAGTTTTCTCTCAGTATGTTTCCCTTCCCTTTATTCTTGACAATAGAAGTACCTACCTGTCAGTGCTAGCCAGCTGTAGCCTCTTAGCTAACATTTCTTAGCAAATTTCTCCTCAGCCAACTTCTGTAGTCCTTTCTGGCTGCTCCCCAACTCTCCCAACCTGGATGGAACCAATGTTTTCTAAAACAACTTCTTTTTGCAGGACATCTGCGCCCCTACCCGCCCCGCCCACACTCCCCAGGCTAGTAACCAGGCACAGACCATGGGAGTCAATTTTGAAATTGGCATTCCTAACATGCTGCATTTATATTGGGTATTCGTTGACAAGGAAAAGACTTAGAGGATGGAATGTCTAATGTAAGGTGGAGGAGGGTGTTTGTTCCCAGCGCCATGTTTATATGTAATCTCGGTCCCTGTCATCAGGCGTGGGTGCCCATTGGTAGAAACGCAAGCTTGTGGTGTCCTGGCTTCTGAATTTAGCTTCTCAACAGCAGGAGTTGACTAGTGAACATCACCTTTTGCTTTGTTAATATATGTGGTATAGGAGAATATCTGAAAAGTTTTGTTCCTCTGATGAATGGGAAAATAGCAAAATGCTAGTGAAAGAGAATGAAAATGAAAAAGGCTTTAGATCCAGGTGAATAATATGTTTAAGAACCCTTCTATTCTCTCTTCTCAGAGTTTAAATAATTTTATTCTACCTCTACAGTAAAGTTCTTTCCCACTGTCATGTATTTTAATATCATTTCCTATATCTAAAAAACACCTCCACCCCCATTATTACCTATAAAACTCCCACCTATTCTTTAAGGTGCAACTC